CATATATATGGAATTTAGAAAGATGGTAACGATAACCCTATATGCAAGACAGAAAAAGAGACACAGATGTACAGAACAGACTTTTGGACTCTGTGGGAGAAGGCAAGGGTGGGATGATCTGAGAGAATAGCACTGAAACATGTATATTATCATTGTGAAACAGATCGCCAGTCCAGGTTTGATGCATGAGACAAGTGCTCAGGGCTGGTGCATTAGGATGACCTAGTGAGATGGGATGGGGAGGGAAGTGGGAGGGGGGTTCAGGATGGGGAACACATGTAAATCCATGGCTTATTCATATCAATGTATGGCAAAAACCACTACAATATTATAAAGTAATTAGCCTCCAACTAATATAAATAAGTGAAAAAATAAAATTTAAAAACTCAGTTAGAAAAGTTTACATTGTGCCTTTATCAGGGAGTCTTACCGTTTTCTTTGTATATGTTGTCTACATTTCTAGTTAAATTTTCTGTAGAAATGTTATCTCTTTTGCTATTATTAAAGAAGCTTCAATATTAAAAAAAATAAAGGTTTCAGGTATCTTTAAAAACATATACAAGACAAAAAGACAAATTGTGAAATGAGATAATGGGAAAACAAGAATAGAATTGACAATAATGTAAATGTTGTAAATTTTACTAAGAGGGATAAAATATTTTAAGGATGCTGAATTTTCAAATGACTCATGTATTTAAACAGACTGTTTTTCCTTAACATCAAAGTAAACAACTAGAATTTCAAAATATTTTAATATGAAAAATGCTCAAGTAAATGCTTATCATCATCTTTTCTTCCTCTTATTTTCAGGACTTCAAAGACACTCAATATAATACAACAAAAGTACTAATTTTATACTCTTAAAAATACTAATTTACCTGTAGACATCACTATTTTAGATGACCCAGGGACAGCATCCTTATCATATGAAACGTTACCACGTTCTCTGGCCAGTGCCTTTAGAGAAGTTGAAGATGTTGAGCAAATGACAGGAATACATTTTTCCTGTTAAAAAAGATAAAATTCCTAGATAAGGAGGTCAGAAAATCATTGGCATCACTGGTCCACAAATGATCAGTGGTCAGAAGTCCTTGGGATGGAAATTTCTCTGTTACAAATTGTAGTACTTTTCAAACTGTGATAAGAGGGGGCCATAAGCTAGTCAAGTAGGAGAGGAAGAGACCAAGAGGCTGGGATTCCCAAAGCTATCCCTGCTCCACCTAGTCATACCTTAGCCAAAATAATTACTATGTAGAACTTGTGGTTTTTATTGTTTTTTTTTTTTTTTTTGGTTTTTAGCTTCCCAGGTGGCTCAGTGGTAAAGAATCTGTCTGCTAATGCAAGAGATGCAGGGTTCCTGGGTCGGGAAGATCCCCTGGAGGAGGAAATAACAATCCATTCCAGTATTCTTGCCTGGAGAATGCCATGGACAGAGGAGCCTGGCAGGCTATAGTTCACAGGGTCTCAAAGAGTCAAGACACAGCTGAGCATGCATTCATGTAAGTTTTATACACTCTGGAAATATAATCCAGCAATTCATCAAGTGAGCTTAGGGAACCTCAACGAGGCAGAGGACAGTTTGTCTTCAGAAAGCAGTCACTCATCTGGGTTTTTACTGTATCTAGCCTGCATTTCTCCATATTACACATGATAATTTTGACAAAATTAAAAGTGGCTTGCTAAAGTCCATACTGAATTATGCCCACTGTATGTAAGAACAAATGTCTTCTGGGTATTGTTTAAAATCACTAGCGGTTTATAGTATATCAGCTCTTGGTGTTTTCTAGGACCTAACTTCAAACAAGACTCTCCAGTATCAGAAAAGAGGACCTTGGGCCTAGAAAAGGTAATAACAGAGATATTTAAAAGGCAGGGACAAAGGAGAAAAAGCAGAACACTCAGTGTTGTTGGATTTTTCTTTGTTTAAATTAATGACCGTTATCTGGGTCCACAGTATTGCAGTAAATTATGTTATTTTTAAAGTGTTGTTGTTTATTCACTAAGTTGTGTCTGACTCTTTTTCAACCCCATGGACTGTAGCCTGCCAGGATCCTCTGTCTATGGGAATTTCCAGGCAAGAATACTGGAGTGGGTTCCCATTTCCTTCTCCAAGGATCTTCTCAACCGAGGGATCGAACCTGCATCTCCTGCACTGCAGGCGAATTCTTCACTGCTGAGCCACCAGGGAAGCCCTTTTAAAGTATACTGAGTTTTAAATAAACTGCCCCAAAGATAAATACAGTATTTTCAGTGTGGCTTTGAAGAGGTCAAACACTATTCAGTTTTAAGTTTATCCAAGATTCTATACCTTTATACTTAAGAGTATATTTCTTACAGACAAGGTGTATTTGGATCCTATATATAACAGTTTATATCTTCTAGTCCCCAAATCCCAATCCCATTCTCTCCCCCTTCCCCCGCCTTATACACTCTTGGTACATTCCCCAAGGTTGTCATAATACTCTTATTGTTGTTCAGTTGCTAAGTTGTGTCCAAATCTTTTGAGCCCACCAGGCTCCTCTGACCATGGGATTTCCCAGGCAAGAATACTTGAATGGGTTGCCATTTCCTTATCAAGGGGATCTTCCCAACCCAGGGATCAAACCCACATCTCCTTTATTGGCAGGTGGATTCTTTACCACTGAGCCATCTGGAAAGCCCATATAACACTCTTAGTAAATCCTAAACTGTATGTTTAACAAGAAGGCACTACAGAGATCCATAATAGAAATTAGTAGGAGATACAACTAACCTTTCTTCCTGAGTGTGGGCCTTTTTTCTTTTTTGTGGAATTTTTAACAGAACTTCCCTTCTTGGGGACTGAAGGACATCCAGGTGGTTTAGGCCGATCTGATTTCTTAGTCTGATGTGTTAATATTATAGCACTATTCTGTGGAGACTGCATTGAGCGCTGAGCTGCCTTGGAAGGAGGCGGCTGTGTTTTTGCAGTATTCTTTGTAACAAAAACTGAGGGAAAAAACACACAACACAAAAATATGATTAAAGTAAATGACATAATTATTTTCTTCTTGATTCAAAAGACATCTAACTCAATCTTTAAAAATATTCCAAAGGTTACTCATTGAAAACCACCTGAAATAAAGGTACCATTTAAAATCAAGCTACAGATATGTAAGATTTTAGATTATCAGGAAATAGTCTGATTCTCTAGAAGAAATAAAGATGCTCTTATAAGAACCAGTAACTTAAACTTACCTGGCACACTGAAAAACTCTATCAATTTACCTTTTGTCTGTTTCTCATATTTCTAGTCCTTGGCAGATAAAAGTTATATAGGAATAATTCTGCCCATCAATACAGAAAAACATAAAGCAGCTACAATGGCTCCTGTTTCATCTTCTAATGGTCAAAGGAATCCCCCTACTTGATTTTTAATGGCTAAAATACATTATATCCCTATATGTATATTTAATAGTAAAGTTTTATAAGCTACAATATAGACTCTACATTAACATAGTCACAAAAGGACCATCATATCCAAATGATTTGAATTTGTTACTTGCAGCCCAATCAAGACAGTTTTAATATTTCAAATGAAGATTACTTGCCAGGTTACTCTTACATATATTCACAGTTAAGTAAAAAGAGATATTTTTAGTATTAATCCCTTAAATTCATTAGTACAAAAAACCCAAATTTTACATAGTAAATAGTACTGATGTCAAAAAGTCTTTACAGGAAGAGCTGAGCTACCAGGGAAGCCCCCTGACCATGTATACATCTGTGAAAAAAAAATCAACTACTTTTATTTGGTCCCTGGTAGCTTAGCCGGTAAAGAATCTGCCTGCAATGCAGGAGACCCCAGTTCGATTCCTGGATTGGGAAGATCCCCTGGAGAAGGGACAGGCTACCCACTCCAGTGTTCTTGGGCTTCCCTGGTGACTCAGATGGTAAAGAATCTGTCTGCAATTTGGGAAACCTGGGTTCGATCCCCAGGTTGGGAAGATCCCCTGGAGGAGGACATGGCAACCCACTCCAGTATTCTTGCCTGGAGAATCTCCATGGACAGAGGAGCTTGATGGGCTACAGTCCATGGGTTGCAAAGAGTCAAACAAGACTGAGTGATCAAGCACTGCAATTTTATTTTGAGAGCTTTGTTTTACAACTTAAGGCTTCCCTTGTGGCTCAGTGGTAAAGAATCTACCTTCAATGCAGGAGACATGGGTTTGATCCCTGGGTCAGGAAGATCCCCTAGAGAAGAAATGGCAACCCACTCGTGTATCTTTGCCTGGGAAATCCCATGGACAGGGGAGCCTGGCAGGCTACAGTTCATGGGGTCACAAAAGAGTCTAAGACAACTTAGCAATCAAACAACAACAACATTTTACAACCTGAAACCAATTTACCACTTTGCTTCTCCCATCCTCAAAGAGTAGGTGTAAATCTGACCTTCTATGGAGAATACCACATCTTCCCTGCAGCCTTCTTATCTACCTCTATCAGTCACCAAGTCAAGAGGGTGGAACAGCTCAGCTGCCAGGGCAAATGGAGGACAACTTAACTTCTGCCTTCTCTTTTCTCTTCCCCTTATTTATAGTAATTCACCTACTTACACCAGCCTCTTTTTAACACTTTACCATCATCAAATTCATACTCCATGCTCACTTCCACTTTTTTCAAATAACTCTTAGCAAAGTAATTCACATTAGTTCTTCTTACAGTCTCCGTGATATCCTCTTCAGGAATTGAAAGATCATACTTCTGATGTTTCATCATCCTGACCTCATCATTAGACAATCTGTGAAGCTCTTCTACCTCTAAGATAATCAACTGTGCTCCCCTTGTCTACATCCAGCTTCCTTATCTGTCACTGTTGCTTCAGACCAATTGATCATGCTTTTCATTCTAAGACTTAGTCACAAACCCTCTTCATTTTCATCCAATCTATTAGCTTTCTTCTGGCTTTACTTTACTCCCTATTAACCTGCACCCAACTGTCCACCTCCACCAAATCCCCATAACTAGTATTCCTTATGTTATCGCCCTCTGATCTTTGATCATATCCAACATGTCAGCTCAAACCTCTAAGTCACACTCTCATTTGTTTTCTCTGGTCCTGAGCTATAGAACAAAGGTCAGCAATCTTTCTGTAAGGGACCAGACAGTAAATATTTTAGACTTTAAATGTCACATGTGGTCTCTGTCACACAATCTTCTTTGTCTCTTCAGTTTTTTTTAATCCTTTATGAATATAAAAAGTATTCACAACTCACAGGCTACATGTGACGCTCAGATTATAGTCTGCCAACTCCTGCTACAAAACATTAGGATATTGCTGATCACTGTAACATCTATACTAATCTCAACTAAGGTGTTACTGCTTGAACTCACTGATTTCCAAGTATGTTTCCATGGCAGAACATTCTCCCCCTTTTAAGTTCCTCTCTCCCTCTCACCTTATTCCTTTCAGCAAATGACCCTACCTTCTACTTTAAGAGAAGATTGTGGGAGTGATCATAACCATCTCATTTCTCCATCTTCAGTTCAGTCACTCAGTCGTGTCTGACTCTTCGCAACCCCATGGACTGCAGCACACCAGGCTTCCCTGTCCATCACCAACTCCCAGAGCTTGCTCAAACTCATGGCCATTGAGTTAGTGATGCTATCCAACCATCTCATCCTCTGTCATCCCCTTCTCCTCCCACCTTCAATCTTTCCCAGCATCAGGGACTTTTCAAATGAGTCAGTTCTTTGGATCAGGTGGCCAAAGTATTAGAGTTTCAGCTTCAGCATCAGTCTTTCGAATGAATATTCAGGACTGATTTCCTTTAGGATGGACTGGTTGGATCTCCTTGCAGTCCAAGGGACTCTCAAGAGTCTTCTCCAACACCACAGTTCAAAAGCATCAATTCTTCAGTGCTCAGCTTTCTTTATGATCCAGCTCTCACATCCACACGCGACTACTGGAAAAACCACATCTTTGACTAGACGGACCTTTGTCAGGAAAGTAATGTCTCTGTTTTTTAATGTGATGTCTAGGTTGGTCATAGCTTTTCTTCCACTTTCACCTTCTCCATCCTAAAATACTCTTATTTTCATTCATTCTCATCTTTTCCTCTTATATCAAATGAAGTTTTCTCTTTACTCTTCTAAGCCAAATCCCCTTTCACTTAAGTCCATAACTATCTTCTTTGGTTTCTCTGGCATTTTAAGTTTCAATTATCTTCTCTCTTCACAGTATTTGATCACTTGATCCCCAAACTCTTGCTCTCTCTTGCAATCCTTATATATACATCCCTTATTTTGAAGTTTCCTTCCCTAGTTTCCGGTGCTTTCTAGCCCATGCATAAATCTTCCTTCTACTCACTACCATGATACAAAAAAGAATCACTTACTCTTGATATTTCAATTTCCTTATTAGTCTGTGTTTCCTTGCTAAGTCACTTCAGTTGTGTCTGACTCTGTGTGACCCCACAGACAGCAGCCCACCAGGCTCCCCTGTCCCTGGGATTCTCCAGGCAAGAACACTGGAGTGGGTTGCCATTTCCTTCTCTAATGCATGAAAGTGAAAAGTGAAAGTGAAGTCGCTCAGTTGTGTCNTCATGTCCGACTCTTCGCGACCCCATGGACTGCAGCCTACCAGGCTCCTTCATCCATGGGATTCTCCAGGCAAGAGTACTGGAGTGGGGTGCCATTGCCTTCTCCCTGTGTTTCCTTAGCCTCCTATAATAATAAGCTTTTCTTCCTCCAGCCACTGTAAGGTCAGTAATGACCTCTTCTTAGTAACTAAATCCAAATAAATCCTCATTCTCTTGATGAATCTCTTCATATCCACAGTTCCGGTCCCCACCTTTTAATATATGGCATGAAGAAAAGGAAATACGATTGGGGGCTCTGGACCTGAGGTTAAATTCCTGCACTAGATTAGTTTAAGACAGAACCTAGGAGTATGGGAGGTCCTCAAAAAATATTTACCAAATAAATGAAAAATACTTTCAGTTTGCAAGCCAATGTTTCACCTCCAAAACAAGTATATTTTATATAAAGAATTATGTAGTAACAAATAAAACATTACTTTGTGGAATGTGGCAAATGTAATGAAAGCAATATTTGATATAAAAATGTTGACATTTGATATTAATAAATCTTGGGACACAAATATTTGAGCTGTAGCTTCAAACAGTCTCCCAAAATATAAATATTCTATTTTATAATAAGAACTTTTTGATGCATGGTATAAACGTATGTATGAGCAAAGAAAATGCATTATAAAAAATTTTATGTATGAAAAAAATTTTCACTTTAGAGAGCAAGCTTTTCAAAGGCAAAGATTCAGTTTGGTTCACTGCCATATTCCCAGCGCCTAGAACAAAATACTTTTTAAACTACTTTAACTAAAGAGGAATGAATAATCATTCAGTACACTGAACAGCAAAATTAAACTATATACACTATACATGTATTTTCATCTCTCCTCCAAAGGGCAATCATATAACATATACACACCATGCTAAAACTCTATTCAATATTAAACTATTTTAAAGGAAAATAGATTTGTTTAAGAGATAAGGTTAAAATTATACATATAGCACTACAACCATGTGTTCATAGTGGTAACAGTAAAAACATCTTTGAAAACAGTATATAAAATATATATAGAAGGATATGCTAATCATCTTCAATAAAATTTTTATGTGAATACCTAACACAAAATTTACCTGGTTCCTCAGCTTTTCTTCAGGTAAGAGAAACAATGTTTGGGTAAGATAATGAAGTTACTCAATCATGAAAATGCAAAAGAAATGAACAAATTTGGGAAACAATCAAAAGGCAGGAATTAAAGTCAAGAGGAGGCCTGGAAGAGGGGGAACCAAAGAAAGAAAGGAGCTAGATACCAACATTTATTGGCTACCCATTACATGCTAAGCACTTCAGTATCTGTTGTCACATGCAATCCTCCCAAATGTCCTATGAGGTAGGTATTGTTCCCCACTTTACACACAAGG